CTCACTGTCCACTCTGGGGTCCAGGTCCCACCATCCAAACTGGGGGAACTGCCCAGATCCAATCCAACCCCCACCCCAGCTTCTTTCTAAAGCAGTAYGTGGAGAACACACCAATTATTTCCCAATTTCTTCAATAGCCAAGTGTGATATTGCACACAGAGATTTGGTTTTTTTGAGTTTTCAGGAAGCGACTCTTTAAAGCAAAGCTCCCAGCTGTGTTAATAAACTCCTGGAAGCAGTTACACACTGTGCCCCCTGCACTCTGACATTTTGACAACACCTTTTTAAAAACTCTCCACTTCCTAATCCCTTCCCTTTAAATTAAATTTAATGGCAGAGCTGTTGGCTTGTTACTGTGATGCCTGATTATTTTTACCTTTCCTTTTTATATACCCTTTTATATATTTTATGTACCCTTTGAAGCATTTCCATACCCTTTATATAYCTCTTACACCCCTTAATCTACATACATATAATTCCTATAATCTAATATTCCATTTTAATTTAAAAATTATACTACAYAAAGAAACCAAACATCCTCAAAAAAAATCAACATACCCTACACTATCTTAAACCTAAAACTCCAACTAAAGCCTTCTCTCCAAAATATATTGTATAAACTAAACTCTAACCTCATTCCAAAAAAAAAACCATTAAAATAAAAAAAATTAATTCATTTACTGAATTTCTTATTAATAAATCCTAAGTAAATATATAAATTATAAAATGCATTAAAATTACATCCATACTATACACAAAATACATTTTKCCATCAAATTATACACCWGAAATCCCAAATACCAAAATAAAACYCTTTTATCCSCTTAACYGYATYTATATCATTATTAAAACTAACCAATCAAAACAACAACTGTCCCTGAAAACATCATTCTCTGATGTTTAGAGTTTAAATATTTCAACCAGCTGCTGTCTGCTAAATCTGCTGGGCCATTTAGGCCTAATCTAGGCCTAGGAGTGAAGAAAATAAACAACTTTGAGTCAGTGAAGTCTCCCAGACATGAAAAGCCAAGATTTCAAGCATTTCTCTGTTTGGGTGCAGGAACTCACCGATCAGATTGAGAGAGGAGTTCTCAGCTTTCTCAAAGGCAACTTGACTGTTTCCAAGAACCAAACCAACCTCAATCTGCAAATGGAAGGGAAGAAATAATTACATTAATGACTATTAGACTCAGATTGCTCCTTTGGTATCCATCCCCAAGCATATCTCAGAAGGCAGAAAGAAGGAGCAAAAGCTCCACTTCAAATRTCACTGGGAAGAAARAGAAATACCAACTGTAAAACAGAYATCACTGAATGCAGAARCTCACCARSTATAAAAATTTGGCTTTTAAAARWTAACRGTTTAGCTCARACMCAATTATTTTAYTTCAGCAAGATKYARCAAGTAAAGGAGAAAATTAAATCAWGTCYTTTCCACAGAAGGAAAAATCAAAACTGGACATGTCTGGAAGACAAAAAGGCTCAAGAGAGGATGTTTGCATGAAAAAACCAAAAACTGTTCCTTGTACCCTCCCCAGCTCTGCACTTTAGAGGAGACTGCACTGAGCTGCAAATAATGTTTTTTGTCTTCTCTGGCACAGCAGACACAGCCAGAGGAGCCACATGTGTGACTTCTCCAAAGGCAGGACACCCAAACTGCTCCTGGTGGCAYGATCTGGTCAGCACTTGCAGCTCTGCAGTCCCCAAGGAGGGGACACGAATTGCTGGGAGCTCACCTGCTGCTTTTTGCCAGTTCCAGACTCTCCTTTGAGAATGCTGGGGTCCATGGCTTCCATGCCCTTCACCAGCAGCCCAAAGAGCTTGTCATTAAAGCTGAACACAAGCTGTGGAAAGGAAAAAAAAACTCATTAAAAAAGCTAAAAAGGATTCTGACAGGACTTCCAAGATTTAAAGGGAAAAAGGCCTGAAGATTAAGTTTATCACCCAGTGACTCCCATGTTTTTCCCCTGTAAACCTCTGCTGACCATGAGCTTTCCATGCCCCAATGTAACAGATCAGAAGTGGCAGAACATGAAGTCAGCTGGAGAAACTCAAAGAAAAATTCTCTTTCCAAGAAAAGCATCTATTTYCCCCCCTTTTCTCCTCAGCTCAATGCTCTGCATCATCTCATGACATTTTCCTCTCACTTCAATAATTGGTGCTCGTCAAGGAGAACAATTTAGCTCAAAACTTTCCAATCTCTTGCATTTCAGTTTGACAAGAACACCTCAGAAACAGAGCTAATGAGAGACACAGTGAATGTCATGAGAAGTAGGGTCCATYCCACAAAAACCAGGCTGGCTCTGCACAATTCCCTTCCTTGAGCTTGTATTTCCAGCTGGCTTAAGATTCAGACCCTGCACATTGTAAATACTGTGAGAGAACCACTCTCCACCTGTTTGAGAAGGCAAAGCAGAGCTGTCACAGAGCTTTGCAGGGGCTGAAGCCCATCTGCTGCAGAGCTGGGCAGGCTCAGGTACAGGGACAGCATTTTCCAAGGTGTCCAAGGAAAGTAATTCATCCCTGTTTCGCTATTTAAGTCCATAAAGTAGCAAAAATCKTAAAATYCCAGGATAATTTGGGTTGGAGAGKACCCTAAAGCTCATCCAGTGGGCAGGGACACTTTCCACCACTTTCCAGCTCCAGGCTCTGTCCARCTTGGCCTTGGACAYTTCCAGAACAATAAACCCCACTGCACTTGGGGGGTGCCACTGAGAATGATCTAAACCTGGTGTTCATCTTGATCTTACAGAGAAGGAKGCAAAAGTGACTCCCTAAGAAATTCCAGGAGTTTCCAGGCTCCAATCCAATGCAGAGAGACCTGAGCTCTCCCAAGCCTTGGGAYTTTCCTCTGATTTAGAGAAGGGTAGAGCAGATTCCAAACCCCTCTCAGAAGTCAGAAGCCACAATGGTTTAACTTTTCCTAAAGACTCACGCACAGAACAACTCCTGCCCCTCACCCAGCCTTCCCACAGCCCTCAGATTCTCCCTCCCCACGCTACACATGGGGTTTCAGGCCAGTTTAGCCCCCAACCTGCTGGCCCACGGAGAAGGCCTGGCTGTTGAACTGCTGGATGAACTCTGCAGCCATCTTGTCTGTGTCATAGGGATTGGAGTCGATGTTCTTCTTCTGCAGGAAGTCGATCTCRATGGTCATGGTGCCAATGCACTGCTTGGTCTTGTCAAAAGTGTATAAAGAAACTGTTAAAAAAAGCAAGAAATAGCACATTTTAGGACTGCAAGATTCCCTCRATGTATCAAACACGTTTGGCAACACACATTCCCTTGAGAATGAGCACTTGGTAAAACCAAATATATTATTTCTGATAGAACTCTAATTTCTCTTACATCCACGTTCTGCTACAAGGTCAAAAATACAGTAAAATTTCCACTGAATACATTATTTCTGATGAGATTCTCATTTCTCTTACATCCACGTTCTGCTACAAGGTCAAAAATACAATTAAATTTCAACTGAAAATCCCTGCATTGCTTTAAAAACTCTTAAAAAACCTTTCAAASAGCTCAAACACCACACAGACTTTGGGAGATGAGGACAGTGAAAGCAAACTCAGACATGCTGTGATACCACACAGCTGGGTTCAGACACATCTCCAACCCACCTAAGGGTTCAGACACATGTCCAGGAAGCCCAAAAGGCAGTGACAAGGGTACTTTTGCCCAAAAACAATGACAAGAGGCCATCACTGGTTTTCTKTGGCAAGAGGTTCTCCAGATGAGGCAGCAGAAACTGAATTAGCTGCACATCCAAGTGGAGCAGTGCAATCTGTCAGCCCAAACCAAGCACATCATCCACTGTCCTTCATCCCTGGCACTGAGGACACAGCCCTCACCCCAGAGTGCCCTTGGGCCTATCCTGGCATTCCCAGACTACCCTCAGGGAGGCAGAATGAACTGAACAGAAAGCCAAGGGGCTTTTCCTTCTGGAAGAACGGAGTATCAGTCCCTGGATTTGGTCATATCCCAGGAATTCCTGACATTCCAGGGCTGAGGTGCCAGCTGCACACGAGCAGCCCTTACACCCAGGACGGAGTGCTGAGGGTGCACAGAGGGGCTGCAGCACAGTCAGCAGTGCACAGCACCAGCTCCAAGAGCCTGGAATGTCCCTGAGAGAGGCTGGGAAGGCAGCAGGGACCTCCTGGAGATGGGAAAGCAGCAGGGAACTCCCTGGGACAAAAAAAATACCCAGAATCACAGAATCACCAGGGTTGGGAGAGACCTTCAAGATCTCCCAGTCCAAGCCCTACCTTGACACCTCAACTCATCCACGGCACCCAGTGCCACATCCAAGCTCTCTTTGAACACATCCAGTGATGGTGACTCCACCACCTCTCTGGGCAGACTGTTCAAGTGCTTTATCACTCTTCCTGTAAAGAACTGTTTTCTAATATCCACCCGAGACAGCCCTCCCTGGCTCCAGCTGAGCACCTCTAACAGAAGCAGCACTGCACAGGAAGGCAGCACAGCCACAGCCTCTCAGGGCACTCTGCCTTCCCACCAGGAAAAACACTCACCTGGAGAACCCTGACTGCATCACCCGGGGCTCAGCAGGACTCCCATCCCCACCCCACAGAGCCGTGGGCTGCATTCACAGSTGACATTTCAAACACAGCTTCCACACGATCAGGGCACTGGGACAAAGCACGAGCCCTGCTAAATCAGCGCCTTTGTGAGCGCTTCTCCCTACCTGCAGAATGCCTGCACAAATCCCTTCCAGCCAGCAGAGTCAGATGACATTTAGTCATTGTGCATAGAATCACTGCATTATTTTTGTCAACACAGGCTCCCACGTAGCTGGAAGGTTTACAGCAAAGCCCAGGACCAAGGACAGACACAAATTGCTCTAACAGCTGATCACACCCAATATTGGTGCTTCTTTCCCCAAAAGTACCGAAAAGCTTCGATCTCTAAGTGAGTTGGCACGTGATCATCAGCCAAACAAGTCTGAGAAACAATTTAATTTATGGGTCTCCCTCCATTATAGGTCATTCTTCAGTTAAAACAAAAACAGCTGGCAAAAAAATCAGATTAATGGAACCATCAAGGTTGGGAAAAGCCTCTAAGATTGCCAAGTCCAACCAYCAATCCAGCACCACCACCGTGGTCACCACTRMAACATTTCCTCAAGTCCAACCATYAAYCCAGCACCACCACYGTGGTCACCACTAAATCACGTCCCCARGTGCCACATCCACCGCTTCTTTGAACATTTCCAGGGATGGTGAYTCCACCACTGCCCRGGRCAGGCTGTGCCAAACCTTTACAGYCCTTTCTGTGAAGAAATTTCCCCTSATATCCAACATTGGYCAAGSCTTGGGAGGYTTGAGGAASMCTTGGAACTGGGATAGAAATCTTTSRTTTGAACRAYRGCATCCCTGGYCCCTCACCTTGCTGCAGAATGTTCTGGTCAGTTATTGGTGCAAACAACAGCGCTGCTCCCAAAGCTGCTGGCACTAAAACATCCCCCAAACTCCAAAGCTGACACCAAGGARTTCCCCAAGGACAAGAGCTGTCCTCTGTCAGAGAGAATGTTCTCCAGAGACCCAGAACAGGCTATGCAGGACATGTTCAATGTTCCTATCTGCATGTGGACACAGATATCCCACATTGAGATAGCAGCAGATTTCTGGAGAAACTGCTAAAAAAGCCCTCCAGGGGAACATTGTTAATTTAATGTTTGGAAAACATGAAATGCAGAAAGGGTGCAGAGAGGAGAGCAGCTCCTTCACTGATGAGGACCCCACACTACTTGGAGAAGGGCTGGAGAGCTGACATTTCCCAGCTCAGTTTCAGCTCAGGATGGAAACAAGAATCCAGCTTTYATAAACACAGCACAATCACTCTGCTGACTAACTCACCATCGATCTCCTGCCCAATGGAAAGGCCAGCCCATTTTCTCTGGAAAACAAATAAAAAATGTCAGAACACCTGGCCCTCAGAACAAACAGCTGTCCCTGAAAACACCTGCCCTCTCAAGGCAGCCTCCTCACCCAGAAGATGAGAACCTCCAGCAGCAGAAAAAAACAGGCAGAATGGAATATCCCAAACAACCCCAAATTAACAAGAAACAAAAAACATGGAATAATCTCTTTCAATAATTCTATCTTGTGACCTCAGGAGGTTGTTCTGTCCAGCCTCCTCCAGGTTATTGGTGTCCCCACCATCCTGGAGGAAGAAGTTGTGGTGCTGGACAGGGCTTTTTGTCCTTCTGCTCATTTCCTACCAAAGCCCAGGTTCTGAGCACTGCAAAGGTGCAGGAATGGCTGTTACACAACCTATGAGCATTTTCAAAGCTTGTTCTAATGGCTCCAAGGTACAGCATCATCTGAGCAAAGAGAAGCAGTAAGAACAAAACCGTTCAAATCACTCCAAATTCTTTTAGAAAGATTTGTCATTATTTATTCTAACCATCATTTAACATCTGATGATGACTTAATTAAGAAAGAGGAGACAAAGGGGCTTTTTTTTTTTAATTTTATGCATTTCCTTGCACTTTCCTTGCACATATCTAAAAATATTAACAATAACTGACTAATAAAATTTCCAGCAGGTCTTAAGAAAGAAAAACACAGCAAACAAACTTTAAAGTCAAGGGAAACCAGGAAACAATAAAGARTCACAAGAAAGAGCAGATATTGCTTAGGTTTTCTATTTTTTCAGAAGTTTGTTTCTGGTGAATTTTTAAAAGGTTAAATTACATCTTTTCCAGTATCTTTATCCAACCAAGCACTAAAAATAATCAAAGCACCATAAGCACAGTCACTTCAGGTGTAGCAAAAGTCTCCTTGAACTTTTGCTGTCAGTAATTAAATTTGCAGCATACATTTATTCCAATTAGAGAACTTCTCTTCAACCCTGATCCCAAAAGAKATTTTGGTTATTCTGCAGCAGAGCAGAAAGTCCAAGCACCCCATACCTGGGGCAAGCTGAAGGCGATGCTGCCGGGGACAACCGAGTGGTGGGTTCGCAGYGTGAAGATGTATTTGTGGTTGGGAGAGGTCTTCACCATCACATGCCTGGAAAAGAGAAGAGAATTTTACTTTGATGTGCACCAGGAGGGTTTGGCATCGTTCACAACGCTGTGGGAACTCAATAGGAACACTCAGCTTATCTCAGGGACTGCACAGAGAAACTGGAACCATTGGGAGCCACAGCCCAGCACAGACACACAGCAGGGTGACAGAGCCCATCACCSTCACTGATACAATGTGATCTCAAARCCAACTGTAAACTGCACCAAAAATCACTATTTACACCCCTCCAGTGGCTCTTTACTTCAGGATTGCACTGTACAAATGAAAACCAAACCACAATGACAACCGCTGAGGCTGCTACAGCTAAAAACCAACACCAGTTTCACAGCTCAAGCATTCAGACCCAAGCATCAATATTTTTCCCCCACACAAACACTATCCCAAGCTGTGATGCCAACAAGAAGCAGGTGCAAAGCCCATATAGGGATCTGAGTATATTGTTTAGGAGTTTGATAGTAGAAAAAGCCAGGAGGAATTTCTGTACAAGAAGTAAAATCACACGGGCCCTGAGGCTGCTCCTCCTAATGCAAGTGACCAAGTGATGTTGAATTCAGACAGCATCTGAATAGCTGAAAAAAACAGTATCATAGTGATGGAAAGAGGCCCTTTGGGAAAGGACCTGGGGGTGCTGACTGACAGCAGCTGAACAGGAGCTGCTGTGTGCCCAGGTGGGCAAAAATGCCAAGGRCACCTGGCCTGTCTCAGAAATGGTGTGGCCAGCAGGCCCAGGGCAGTGACTGTCCCTGTGCTGGGCACTGCTCAGGCCACACCTCGAGCACTCAGGTCAGTTCTGGCTCYKCACTGCAAGAAGGACATCAGAGTGTCCAGGGAAGGGAACGGAGCTGGGGAAGGGGAGGGAGCCCCAGGAGCAGCTGTGGGGGCTCAGCCTGGACCTTCTCACTCTCCACAACTCCCTGACAGGAGGGGACAGCCGGGGGCAAACAGACTCTGCTCCCAGGGAAAAAGGGACAGGATGAGAGGGAACAGCCTCAGGCTGGGCCAGGGGAGGTTTGGATCGAACACCAGGAAGAACATCATGGAAGGGACTGTCCAGGTGGATTTGGAGTCCCCATCCCTGGAGGGGTCCCAGGATGGCCGGGATGTGGCACTCAGCACTCTGGGCTGGTGACAAGGTGGGGATCAGGCACAGGGTGAACTTGATGATCTGAGAGGCTTTTCCTGAATGATTCTGTGATTCCATCACAGAGCAGTTATCAAAGCAGAGCAACATAAGCAGTCAGGAGCAGACACAGCAGCAGCCATGGCATGTGCCTGTCTGTCACACTCACAATTGAAGCTGTCAGCAACAAAGATACTCTAAAGSTGCTTATAGCTCTCCTCAGACTATGCCTGATAGCTCTTATCATGTGACAGGCAGACAGCTTGCTGGCATGAGAAAGCAAAACCAGAGGAGGCCTGGATTTGTGTGCTCTGGCAGCAGGGTGACGCTGGAATCGGGTTCACCTCATCATCCTCTCACAGCTGCTGGCACCGTACCCACCCGTGGGGTACCCATTGGATTTCACCCCCCTCATGGCCAGGAAGGGCAGGGTGGGCAGTGCTGGCAGCCCAGGCTCACACTCCTGGCCCTCCTCCCTCCCTGCAGCCCGTGTTTGCCATGCACACAACACATGTTCCCTACACTTGCACTGTCACATCCCAGCCAATCCAGCAGCATCCAAGAGAGGATCTGCACCCGCTCCATCCTGTGTGCAGAACAGCTCCAGCCACA